GTGTGTGGTGCTCCCGGGGTAGGGTGCCCCCAGAGTGGGGTTGCCTTGCCCCGGTAAGCACAAACCCTAAGTTCAGGATGGAGCCCAGTCAGGAAGGGAGGTTCCTGTTCCCTGACGAGGAGCGGGTGCTGGGCTGGGCTGGGCTGCGGGTCAGGGTGTCTGAGAAGACTGGGGCAGGAGGCCCGTGGGGCGAGGACCTTGCTGGCCCGCTGGGGGGGGCACATGGGCCTGGCTTCGTGGAGCATCGGGCTGCAGCCTGTGGCCAAGCCCTGGGTCAGAGCTGGGGAGGCCTGGAGCTCCATTTCTGGGGGACACGTTGTTGGTTTGCGCGTTGTCTTGGGCTCAGGACTGGTGGGGGAGCTGTGCGCCAGCACCGTGCCCTAAACTGGGCGTCTGAGGGGTCGGAGGCACGAAGGCGGCACACGCTCTGCGTAAAGAGCAGCCAGCACTGCAGTCAGTAAGCGTCAGTTACCCAGTGACTTAGTTAACTGTTGAGGGACCCCCGTTTCACTTGGGAAGCGTCGGCCGATGGACTGGAAAAGCCCCTGCTATGGGGATGGTTGGGGGAGAGGTAGGTGTCGCCTCACGGCAGGGGGGCTGAGGAGGAGCTTTCCTGTACTTGGGATTCTAGATTCTAGACAGAACCCTCACTTTACCCCTTGGGAAGCGTGCGGTGGCAGGGCGGGGTCTGCGCATGCCCTGGCCTTGCTGTGCTCCCGGACGCCCCCTCTGCCGCGGCAGCCTGGGAGCGGCTCTTCCCGCCCGTCCTGACCTGCCTCTGGCAAAGCACGGTGGGCCCAGGACCCGCGACGGAGAAGCAGGATTGGCCGGCTCCCATCACCCAGCGAGGGCGCGGGACCACGCGACCCACAGAGGGATGATCTGACTTTTCTCTTTTTTTCATGTAATTTATTTCACTTGACACCGCTCAGAAAATGGGAGTTTTGGGGGCTTAGAAGGCTGCTATCTTCCGAGCCAGTTTGACGAGCGTGATGGGAAATTTCTCAAACTGTGTCCTCCACACAGAGGGGCAGGAGGCTGCCCCACAGGAGCATCCAGGAAGCGGGACACCTGGACCCAGGGCCCCCCTTGGGGTACCGCGGTCTGTTCTCTCTGTCCTGCCCTCCCGACTTCTCTGTCCGTGGGCCGTCGCTGCCGCAGGCTTCAAGCTGCCTGCAAGTGTCACGCACTGATTTGGGCCTGACTGGCCTTCCTGGCTGGGGTGTCCAGAGCATCAACTGTGACTTCCCCGAGGGCTCCCTTTAAACCAGTTTTAAGCGCACAGTTCACTGGCGCTAAGCACGTTCGCAGTGTTGTGCAGCCATCGCTGCTGTTATTTCCAATCTTTTTCATCACCCTGAACTGGAACTCTGTCCCCATTAAA